CCTACTACCAGATTCCTGTCGCTCCGGATGACATACCTAAAACAGCCATAACTACACCGTGTGGTCTCTACGAATTCGTGCGAATGCCTTTCGGTTTGAGAAACGCCGCGCAGACATTTCAGCGACTTATCAACCAAGTCCTCAGAGGCCTTGATTTCCTCTTCGCATATATTGATGATACACTTCAAGCCATCTTGAGTCATGATGAACATTTGTGTCGTCTTCGCATAACTTGCGAGCGTCTCGCCCAATTTGGCAATATGATCAACACCGATAAGTGCGTCTTTGGCCAGTCATCCGTTGACTTCCTTGGCCACCGAACTGATCACGACAGTACTTGCTCGCTTCCTGAAAAGACACAAGCCATCGCAGGCTACCCGATGCCACAATCATACAAAAGATTACGCCGTTTTCTTGGTATGGCCAACTATTAGAGTCGCTTCATCCCAGAATGATCTAGGCTTCTTCAGCCATTGACAGATCTGCTCAAAAGCAAGTCTCGCAAGTTTGAACTGACAACGGAAGCCATAGCAGCATTCGACCAGAGCAAACACGCACTTTCTAATGCTACTGCTCTTAGCCATTTGAGAACCCATGTGGACACATTCTTAATGCACAAAACCGACGCATCACAGACCACCGTTAGTGCTGTTCTTTAACAGGTCGTAGACGGTCAACCTGAGCCTCTTTCTTTCTTCTCTCGGAACCTACAACCTCCTCAGATGCGATACAGTACCTTCGGTCGAGAACTGTTGCCAGTTATCTCGCCGTTAAGCACTTTCGTTAGTGGCTTGAAGGACGTACATTTGCAATCCTCACGCATAATTAGATCCTTACTTTCGTTTTTCGTGGGTCATCTGATCGCTTCTCACCTCGAGAAACTCGTCAGTTGGATATCGCGATTTACCACCGACATCCGACACATTGGTGCAGCTCCCAATCTTGTAGCTGTTGCTATGCCCCGCATTAGTCTCCACGAGGTTCCGCGCCAAGCAATGAACCTAGAAGACTTCGCTGCTCATCCCGAGCAGTTGGAATCAAGTAATTTTGTAAAACTTCCCCAACTGTCTGTTTTCAACTTGGACTCTCGAATTTATTGTGATATATCCACTGGAAAGCCTCGACCATGCGTTCCGCAACAGTATCGACGAATTCTGTTCAACCACTTGCATGGAATCGCCCATCCGAACATCCGCGCCACTATAAAGCTGTTCACGGATCGCTACATCTGGCCCAACATGCGCTCTGATATCCAGCAGTGGGCGAAACAGTATTAATTGCCAGAACAGCAAGGTATATCACCACATGAGCACTGTTTTTGGAATCTTCTGGATGCCTGACGCTCGAATCATGGATGTCCATATCGACATCGTTGGACCTCTACCGCCATCCAAAGATTTTACTTAGGTGTTCACGTGTCGATCGTTTCACACATTGGCCACAGGCCGTGACGCAGCGAGATATCTCAGTCGAAACCGTAGCACGAACGTTTATCGAAACTTGGATAACCATGTTTGGCATCCCCGCTACTATCACCACGGATAGAGAAGCCGTTTAATTCTGCGCTGTTTCGCGACCTTAACCGTATGTTTGCCTGTTCTCATCTGCGCACGACAGCATACCACCCGGCCGCTAACAGTTTAGTTGAGCATTTTCACCGCCAACTCAAGGCCGAACGCACTGCGACAAAACCGAATATGCAGTGGTCGGAGCATCTACCGATCATTCTCCTCATTATCCGCAACAGTGTGATAGATGTCGCTTGTGGTCCTGCAGAATTAGTGTTTGGTACGATATTCAGGCTTCTTGGAAATTTAGTACTGGATTCCAGGGTCATCGGCGAAGTTGATCCCACGTCATGTGTTGCACGACTGGAACAACACTTCAGCGCTGTTCACCCAACTCCACCGCGATTCACTTTTCGGAGCCAACACGTTCGTCCCGACTTGCACATTTGCCCCTTCGTTCTCGTGCGCGTCGATGCGGTTCGCAAACTTTTGACACCGCCTTAAGAAGGCCCTTTCAGAGTCATCACTCACAAAGTGAAATATTTCGTATTGGATAGAAATTGTTCTAAAGATTCTGTCAGTATTGTTCACCTTAAACCATCCTACGTTGAATGTCACTCGCCGAAACAGAGTTCTGACGTTAAACAGACTCCGCTGCAGAGCACCCCACCCACTTAACTGATGTGTGACTCGTGCTCCCTCTCCTCCCCAAACCTCACCTGTCGCAAAGTCAGATACACATAAGGGTATACGTTTTGAACGCGCAGTTATTCTTCCTGCTAAACTAGCTACTCACGACAGTTAGTAAGTATAGAGAGTGCATCCGTGTGACTCACGCGCTAGGGTAGGATTTCTGTAGCGCTTGTAAACATTTTCATTTAAAATTGTAGTTTACTGTTCCATCTTCCTCTGGTTATTGTGCAGTTGTTTGAATTATGCGAATCCATACGATAATCCTTCGCATTTCTTTTTGCATTCACACTTCGGTTCAATGCGCATGCATTCGTCGTGACAGTTTGGCGTGATTGTTCGGTGTTTGGTGAGCGAAATCGTCGCTGACTCGGATTGTGTTCTTGTCGAGGCATACGGCCAGTTTAGGACACTTAAATGAACATTGGCTGAACTGTTTACATATTTGACTGAGCTTTCGTTAACCATTTTTTGCAGGCCTTTTCTACTAAAAACCATAGTCGCTATGGCTGCCAGTCTATCAGTAAGTGGTTCTAATGTCACTTTGATCTTCACTACGTCATTTTGAAACTCGGCCATTTGGGAACTCGGAGAAAAGATGTCCGTTATGTTAACGGCGCATGGTATAGTTGTACCAGATGAGTTCTTGTTGAAAGTTTTAGCTTTGCTCGGGTTACACCCTACGGGTCTCATACCTTTTTTGACGTTGAGAGAACGTTCACAGACCATGTCCGAAGAAGTTCAGGTTCAAACAGGTCCAGAATAACAGGAAAATCCTGCGAATGTTCCACCTTCGAAAACATCGTTGATCCAGAAGGGAAACCAGTGCAGTGCTGTGCAAAAGGAGAACCAAATCAACACCCGCGATTCATATAGTCAACCAAACAACTCCCACGTGCTCTGCACTAGCAGTCCCCGCTGTGCCGGCTACGTGAAGAATAAAAGAAAACAGTAGAGTCAGTAAAGGGAAAGAAACGGAGGAGAAGACAAGCTTATCGAATTTCGAAGGCAATATTAAGATGTAAGTTGGAAAGATCCAAATCGGCGATATAACAGGAATGCAAAGGGCAACAAAAGGTATGTTTGACGATAAAGAATAAGTGGATATCGTGATATATGATACCCCAGGGACAACAGAAGCCTCTGAAAACCTCAATAAAGTGAGATCAAAACAAAATGGATCTCGTCACCAAGTACAGCTAAGGAAGAATGCATGACTCAAGTACAAGTTCAAGTGGGACTGGAACGATAGGATGAATCCCGTAAGTGTTCCTTCTTGAGCGGATCGTCGATCCAGGAGTTGATAGGGGTGCTCCGACTTCTTGATGGGTCTGAAAGGAAAACACCCGAAAACACCCTGGTCCACCAATTTAATGCCCACGTTCCTAACATTAGCTGTCCCAGCTGTGTCAGTTACGTGAAGTAAGTAAGAGAGGAAGGAGAATCGAAGGTAAGAGAGTAGGGGAAATCAGTTAAAAGAAGAGAATAATACCAATGACGAGGAAAAACAAAGAAAATAGAATCGAACTATGACGATGGGAATTTGTCAGGACAACGGAAAGGTTTCGTGTTGCCACCCAAGTGCATCTAGTTGACGCTCAAACCCCTTAACCGTAGCTTCCTTGACAACCTTTTCAGGAAGCAGGTTCCAGCGCTCGATGACTCGACGCTATAAGCGTGTCTCCGCTCTAACTCGATCGGACCGCGGTTTGTCCAGCTTCATACAATGCCCGCGGAGACCAGATAATCTAGCAGGACTAAATAGCATGGACAAATCAGGGCCAACCTTCCCAGTCAAAATACGGTAGGTAAGAATTAGGTCCCCTCTAATTCTTCGATAATGCATTGACTGCATTCCCAAACTAAGTAGGCGTTCGGGGTCCGTTTGCCCACGTAATCCCTTGACCAACCTAGTACCGACATGCAACACCCTTTCTAGTGCCATTTTGTCCCGGACAAGGCATAGTGGACAGGCCTGGACGCAATATTCTCCTCGTGGTGCCAGCTGGGTGGTTCGGGTTTAACCCGCTCCAGCAAATAGTTCGGCGGCAGTGTTCCAGGACGTGGTGGGTTTTCGCCCGGCAAGCGTTCTCCCTATAAAAAGCCACAAATGTCTGCTTATCAACACTGTGAAGTGGCGGATGTGACTCGCCACAAAATAAAGTCACTGGCCCGTGGACATCCGGAAAATGGTATCCAACCCGCGGACGTCAATCGCTTATTCCCACATTCCTACCGATAACAAACAGTCAAAAATTCTGCGGCACATTAAAAAATACAAGCTACATTCATAGACAATTGCATACATATATACACCCATACAATTACATTCACTGTTATGCCAAACATGTACGCTGTGTACATTTTGATCACACTATGTTGGCTAAACGTGATCATGCCTGTACAGGTGTGCCTCGCATTGTCGAGAATAAAAGTTTATTTATTTATTTATTTATCAGCGGTTAGGGTCCCAAAAGAACGACGGATAAACCACAACATTCGGAACCCTTTACTAGCCGCCTTCTTCCAGTTGTCTCCAGAGTCTAATGTGGAACAGTGGACGACACCTAGATCAACCTGATGAGTCACGTGAGGAAGTACAGTCCCATCGAGCACATAACTTGTGGAGGAATCAGACGCTCCGATACGCAGCACTGAACACTTTGCCCGGTTTATAGGCAGCAACCACAAGACAGACCATTCGCAGAGTTTATCCAGAGCCCGTTGAAGAGCCATAGGACCTCCAGGGATATCAACAATATTCCAGAGCTTTAGGTCATCTGCAAATAGAAGCGATTGTACCTCAAGCTCCTCCGGCAAGTCATTCACGTAGACTGAGAACAGCAGCGGACCTAGGACAGAGCCTTGCGGAACGCCGCTAAGTACAGCCTGTCGAAACGAAAGACTGCTTCCCACACGAATACACTGTTCCCGTCCATCTAGAAAAGCTGACACCCACTGGAGAGCACGACCAGCTATTCCATACGACCTCAACTTCGTCTGACACGAAAATCCTTTGCGAAAACCATGTTGCACGAAGCTAAGCGGGTTAAACCTACTTAAATGGTTCTCCCCTGTATCTCGTACTATTTTTTCAAGTAACTTAACGACCACGCTAGTCAAGCTGACAGGCCTGTAATTAGCCGGTAGGTCTTTGTCACCGCACTTGAAAATCGGGCAGACAACAGCCTCCTTCCATTCGGTAGGCAAGATACAGCTATTGAGTGACTTCTGAAACACACAAGTCAGAGGTCCACTGCGTTCCCCTGCCAATTCGTGCAACAATTTTGGATGAACAGAATCTGGCCCAGAAGCCTTAGTTGGGTTCACCTCTTTTAGCAACCGGAGAACTTGGGACTCCGTTACAGGAATTTCATCCAGACAACAGTCCTCAGGGACTCTTGGAACTAACTCTTTGCATGGCGTATTTGTCTCGCGGACAAAGACGCTTGAGTACTGCTTACCAAGCACGCATGCCTTGTCATAGTCGCTATAGGCATGGGTCCCATCTCCTCGAAGCAATGGTGGAATGGGCGAGTTTGCACCACAGCGTCGTTTAACGTAAGCAAAGAATCTCTTGGGATTTTTCGAAGCAGTATTAGCTAAGCCCTTTTCATACTGAAGCCGGGCCAACCTAAGATGTAGCTTGCACTCATTTCGAACCAACCGATATTTGTCAAACGTGCTGTTTGACGGAGCTGTTCGGTAAGCTCGCCAGCATCTAGACCGCTTCTTTAGCAGGCCCTTCCCCGCGGAATCTATCCACGGAGGCTGCGCTCTCGATTCCCTTCTTTTTACCAGTGGGACGTGAGGTGCAGAAATGTCGACGAGGTGAGTCTTAAGCTTTTCCCAGGCTATGTGAACAGTGTCGGTCTCAGATATCACACAAGGCGATGACCTAGCTCTATCCCGCATCGCTTGGAAGTCCGCGGCCCAAATGTTCGGATACCAACTGGTAGTAGCTTGGCAAGACCTGATAAGAGCACACTGGAAAGACAAGCAAACGTGATCGCTCGCGCCAAGAGGCGAGTCATATTTAATGTCATTTACAAAGTCAAGTGACTTAGCAAAAACAAGATCTAAAATGGACGGCTGCTGATTGCTCATGTACCTAGTGGGGAGGTCCACGAACTGGTGTAGTGGTACCTGCAGCGCCAAGTCCAGCAGTTCTGTACCGAACGATTCCAGCGTCGAACTGCAAGATAGATCATCCCAACAAACATCTGGGAGGTTAAAGTCTCCCAGCACCAGACACTTGTTCGCAGAGTGAGTGCGTATAAAGTCAATGATTCCATTGGAGGTGCTCATAGGACTTCTATACACTAACACAACCGTAACCTGAACCGAGGAAGCGCAAATCAAGACTGCGAGAGCCTCAACAGATTTGTCGAGAGACTGAAAAACGCTGGTCCTCAATACGTCGATGTGATAACTCACATAAAGAGCTACACCACCCCCTTGACGGCCAGTGGAGCGATCAGCGCGGAACAGTGCGTAGCCAGGCAGATATACTTCGCCATCTCTGATTTCCTCAGACAGCCACGTTTCAGTGAAAGCAAGTATATCTGGACGAGAGTTGTCTACGAGCAGACCCACCTCGCACATTTTGTTCCTCAGGCTACGCACGTTACTAAGTACTGCTTGTAGTGTTTCGGCCCGACCAGCCCTGGGTCGTGCGCAATTAGTATAGGTTCTGGCAGGGCGGAAAAGGACCGCCGGCTGACCACCTGAAAACCCACCAATCGGAGACCTTGCTCGCCAGCTGCACGCCGGGCTTTTAGGTCTCTGATGGCTTCCTTTAATTTTAACCTATCGGCTAACGGAAGGTCTGGTTGCACACTAACGTTGGTACCTTTGAGTTTGAAGGCAAATCTCAGTAAGGCCCTGCGCTCTTCTGGGGTGGAGAGGACCACCCTAAGCAAACGGGGTCGAGGATTTGGTTGACCAACCGTAACGTTCCCCAATCTGATGAGCTTCCTGACAGTAACACCAGGGAAACCTGGTGGTAAAAGCCTGGTCACACAAACTTTAAGCCAATCAAGATCCTCAAGCATGCGCTCGGTAGGAAGAGCTGCAGTGGATTCAGTGACGTTTCTGAAAATCACACTGCTATCTGTGCAAGAATCGCCTCGACGAGGTGTATTTACACCACATGCTCTACCATCCACGCCATATGGTTGTCTGACGGGAATTGGTGAAACCGAAGGCGACGGCACCTCTTTTCTCACTGAGGGAAGTGCAACACCAGGTGGTGTTTTCAAAGCATGCGCTTGCTTCTTGAGCATTTTGTCACCTTCCGGTTTGGGGGCGGAGGGTTTGCGCGCTTCCTCACCCTCTTACGCTTATTCTTTACTGGCTCAGGAGCCCGTGCTTCGCCTTCCATTTGGGGCGCGTCAACAATGCCGTCCGAGGCATCTGTGTCTGTTATATCCACGTGCACAGGAGCGTCCGGTAGGATGAACTCCTCGTCAACGGTTGGACTATCAGCAGAAGGACAGTCAGTTACAGCGTCCACATTCGCGATATTCAGGGATTTCATAATCAAATCCACTTTAGAATTGAGCGAGGCAAGTGAGGCAAGCTCGGCTAATGCCTTCTCGACAACTGTGAATCTGGACGCTAGTGCTTTGAATTCAGCACAGGTGAAAGCCGGGAGCTTCGCTTTCTGAGCGCAACAATCAGCACATCTAAACAGAAGGCTTTCGCTGGATGATAGCATCTTGTACTGATTCGCTCGGAGGCCGGTACAACTTTTGTGATACCAACGAGAGCAAATATCACACTGCATCCCAACAAATGAATCTGTGACTGGCCTTGAACAGGCAGAATTGCTGCAAGATGCATTTGACTCATCAAACGAAGACGCGAGGGCTTCATCCGTCCCGGTTTTTCGCGAGACGACCATATTGAAGTGGAAAACAACGCAGAATTTAAAAACACGTATACAACCGTAAAACTACCACAATAAAAAGGCAAAACAGGGTGTAAAACGGGATTAAAAAGGGAACAACCGCAAAATTACCAGTAAGCGTCAGGAAGACGCTTTGGCCAGTACCACTTTAGTCGACCCAAGATATCTTGGATCAGATGAAATTTGACAAGAGCCAAATTTCGTTTCAAGTGTTTATTCAAACACTGTTTTCCACCTTATTTCAACTAAAAATCTCGATCAGTAAGGCACGCCAAAAAACCGAGTTACCGCGTAGCACTCCAAGTTCAATGGGACTGGAACAGTAGGATAAACCCCAGTGAATGTTCCTTCCGTGGCGCGTCGTCGATCCAGGTTATTATTCGTCAGCGATAAATGGAATCCAGAAGAGTTAGATCAACGCGAGCAAATCATCCCACGGTCAACCAATTAATACCCACGCGCCCTGCATTGGCATTTCCCGCTGGACTAGCCACGCGAAAGTAATAAAAGGGTCCAGAAATTTAAGGTAACAGATTTATTAATTAAACATTGCGAAAAACCTAGAATGTGAAGGGGAACGTAAGTTTTGAAAGCCAAGGTCGTCAAGTCGGTGTTCGGACTGTCAAAGTTGGTGCCGATACCACGTTCTCGGACCAGCGCATTCCAGGAATCCACCACTCGGCGTGATAAACGGAAGTCCGCCTGGACTCTATCCGATCGAGGTTGGTGTAGCTTCATCAAGTTACCTCGATAGGATGGAAGTGGAGCCATTTGAGGAAGCCCAGATGAATCGGGTCCGATTTTACCGGTAAGTATGCGATAAGTCAAGACCAGATCGCCTCGATGGCGACGAGAATGCACTGAGAACATTTCCAACGAAAGTAGACTTTCTGGGTAAGAATGGTTCCGCAGCGCATGAACCATTTTAGTTCCAACTTCCAACACGCTCTCCACTGACAACGTATCTCGGACTAAGCCGAATGCACAAGCCTGGATGCAGTGTTCCAAGTTTGGCCTGACAAATGTTGAGAATTACCTAACACACATATCGTCCGTGATGGTCCTGAATGTCCTGCGGACCATCCACAACCTTCTAAAACACAGGCACATTTCTTTCCTCCAGTTTGCACCGGATTTAAGTTCTGAAGACAACGCGACCGTTAGGTCTACCTTTCTGAAAACATGCTGTAGTACATTAAGGCCAGACGCGTAAAACATTAGTGGGCCAGTTTACCCCAATCGTAAAGTGGAACACGTTGCATAATTTCTGGGTAACTGCCACAGAGCAACCCGGTCCCAAAGTTTGTCGAGGGCTAGTTGCAGAGTCTGGGGTCCATGGAGGCCAGACACTGTCTGCCAAATCTTTAGGTCATCTGCAAGCACGAGAGATGGCAGTCCAGCAGTTCGGGCAACTAACTGAGCTAGAGAGAAAATAACAATCGGCCAAGCACCGAACCCATAGGGACTCCACTGAGAACTGGCTGACTGACGGAAAGACAGACTAGACCCCACACGAACACACATCTCTCTCCGTTCCAGAAACGTGGTGATTCCTTTTAGTGCCCACCCTGATAATCCATAGGACCGAAGCTTCAAGGAGAGGCGAGACTGTCATACGGTGTGGAACGTCTTGGGGAAGTCAATAAACACTACATCTACTGCCTGACCCCGATCCAAAGCTAACGCACAACGTTCACGTACAACTAGCAATTGAGCCATGCAGAGATGACCCTTGCGAAAGCCGTGTTGAAGTGGACTGCGCAGACCAAACTCATGCAGGTGGTTTCCAAGCACATCCCTGACAAACATCTCCAATGCCTTGACC